CTGCGCTGTGCTCCCCAGGGTGCTGGGGGGTTAGCTGGTGGCCGTGCCGACTGCCAGTGGTGCCATCACAGGCCCACAGATTGGGCGCAAGGAAAGGAGAAATAAATACCAAGTGGCTCTCTAGTAACTGCCACTCACAGGTCGCCTAAATAACTTGTGGGTGGAAAACCATGCAAGTACAGGACGTGTGGGACCAGCGCGGGACCAGGTTCTGGCCAAGCCTGCGGGAAGGGCTGGACGCGCCCGGCCGCCGCCTCCGCGGCCCTCAGCGCAGACCCCGGGTCCCCGCGGCAGGGCCCCTGTGTGATGTGTCTCCCGAGCCCGCAACCAACCTGGCCGCCCTGGTCCCACACGTCCTGTACTTGCATGGTTTTCCACCCACAAGTTATTTAGGCGACCTGTGAGTGGCAGTTACTAGAGAGCCACTTGGTATTTATTTCTCCTTTCCTTGCGCCCAATCTGTGGGCCTGTGATGGCACCACTGGCAGTCAGCACGGCCACCAGCTAACCCCCCAGCACCCTGGGGAGCACAGCGCAGCGAGCGTCCCTGCTTTGCAGAGCAGGGATGGGAGGGTGACGTAAGCCGCTCCAGCTTGCTCGTAGTGGGTGACCGCGCCAGGGTTCAGGCCCAGCAGGTGACCTCGGAGCCCCGCAACCCGCTGTCTGCAGCACTTGGCCTGTCAAGTTGCTGAGGCGAACTCATCCGTCTGTGTCCCCGTGAAGTGTCCCCAGTAGTGGAAAGAGCAACACCCCCCGCCCCTCCCCCCCCCCCCCCCCCCCCCCAGCCCCAGCAGATCCCCCTGACCTAGACTCAGTTCCGCTGCGGCCCCAGGGCTGGCTGCTTTCCCAGAACGGATGCACCTGCTCACATCGGCCCGGGGCTGACCCGGCTCCTCTTTGTCGCTTTCCTGCAGGCCACCGCCTCCCCCAGGGCTCAGCTGCTGGCTTCCAGGCCTAGGTGCCCATGACGCCTATGCTGACCACTGCCCGGACACCACCGCTGCCACAAGCTAGCACCACCGCCCAGGCCCCAATGCCGGTCATGCCCATCCCGCGGCGGGTGCGCTCCTTCCACGGCCCGCACACCACCTGCCTGCACGCAGCCTGCGGGCCGGCGCGCACCTCCCGCCTGGCGCGCACTAAGTACAACAACTTCGACGTCTACATCCGGGCGCGCTGGCTCTACGGCTTCATCCGCTTCCTGCTCTACTTTAGCTGCAGCCTGTTCACGGCCACGCTGTGGGGCGCGCTGGCCGCCCTCTTCTGCCTGCAGTACCTGGGCGTGCGCGTCCTGCTGCGCTTCCAGCTCAAGCTGTCGGTGCTGCTGCTGCTGCTTGGCCGCCGGCGCGTCGACTTCCGCCTCCTGAACGAGCTGCTCATCTACGGGATCCGAGTAACCGTGCTGCTGGTTGGGGGCCTGGGCTGGTGCTTCATGGTCTTCGTGGACATGTGAGGGGCAGCGGCGGGCCTGGCTCTGGGATTTCTCTGGCCCGACCGGTGGCGGTGGGTGCGCCTGTGGCCGTGTTCTCCTCGACGGGGTAGGTCGGGTCCTTGTTCTTCCCGAGCCGCCTCACGGATGGGGGTCGGCCGAGGCGTCCGCCCCGCCGCCAGCACGTGGGGGAGGGGGGCTGAGGCTGCGCGGGGGAGGGGACGCCGGTGCCCCCTCTGCTGCCGGATTTGCTCCCCCCCCCCCCCCCGATCTTCCTGGTGTGCCCGTGTCAGAACAGCGCCCGTGGCCGCCAGCCTGTACTTCCAGCCCCCGCGCTGCCAGGGTGGGCCCCGTTGGCCTCATCTGCCCCGGGGGAGCCTGTGTGTCCCTGCCGCCTGTCCGGCACACAGGCATGGGCCGGGGTGTGCGAGTTCGTCCTGGCCAGCCGCCGGCCCCCTTCCCGCGAACCCCCCGGTCCCTGCCCCAGCCTCAGGGGAGCGTCGGGCTCAGCGTGCTGAGGTCCCACACTGCCACGAGGCCGTTCCCTCTGCCCTGGGCCACCGAATCCGGGCACGGCTCGCACACTCTGCGTCTGCGACCCTGAGAGGCGTAGGGGGTCCTGCGTCCCAGGCCAGGCTTCAGGGTCTTATTGGTTTGCTCAGATGCAGTCTGGTGGGGGTGCGGGCGGCCTTGGCAGCTTCCCTAGATCAGGGGCCGGCCCAGGGCAGTGCCCGTCTTCTTCGGCCGGTTTGTTGACGTCAGGTTGGATGCCACAGCCTCTTCAAGTGTGGATTTCCGAGGAGGCAGCTTAGCTCCCTCCTTGCTGGGGGAGGGGCTCTGGCTTCTCTTCCTCGGAGGGGTGGCTGGAAGGGAACCACACGTGCACAGAGCTGACGTCAGAGGTCTCGAGGAGGTGCAGCACGGCCTGAGCGGGCACCGCAGAAGCACAAGCAAAGCTTCTGTGTAAAAAGCACCTCTTAGAGTTATGCGTGTGCCCCAGGGCCGGGCCTCTGAGCCAGGGACGTTCAGCCCCGTGCTCCTGCCCTGGTGGCCACCAGAGCAGCTGTGGAGTGAAAGGCAGAAATGCACGGGGGGCGGGAGAGAACAAAGGGCTGGTAGTCCAGCGGGGGCCAATGTGTTGCCCGGACCCCTGGCCTTGGCCTTGTCTGTCAGAGGAGGACAGAGTGGCCTGGGGGCTCAGTAGTCACTGTGGGTCTCTTGGCAAGTGAGAAGGCGCTTTGAATAATCGTGCTGGGGCAACAGGCAGAGACCAGGGACAGGACACAGCCCCATACTAGGGAGTGACAGACCCACGTTTCACCCTAGCTTGTCCCCACCCCCACCCCCGGGTGTGGGCAGTGCCCCTTTGGCCCTGCCTGGCCAGGCAGTCCGGTGGCGGCGGTAGGGAGCTGTCGGACGGTTGCGTCCCACTGGAAGAGAGCCCCAAGTCAGGTGGAGAAGGCGAAGGGCGCTCGGCGGTGAACCGTGCTCTGACTTGCAGCTTCCAGATCGCCGACCCGAGGGCCGCCCGAAGGCTTCTGGTTCGCCGTTCTTTTAGTTCCCCGGACGGCAGGCGGGGAGCTGACCTGCGTGCACGCCACTGCTCAGCGCCGCAGAATCTTTTGCACTAAGTCATGCTGTTTCCTCAAAGTTTTGTTTCGTGTTAATTGACTCGGATTCCCCCAGAGCTCCCGTCGGTGGGGTGGGCACGTGTCCACGAAGTCAGGACGGCAGGAGGGGTCCAGCCGTGCGAGGGGGTGGCGCGCTGAACACAAAGATACTCCGCGTCTCGAGTGCCTGTCAAATTCTTTATTGAAATGAGCCACCTGCATTAAACTTATTTTTTTAACATGTTGACAGAGTGATTGTTTGAAGCTCAAAATCTTGTTTTAGTTTTTAAGGATGTAACCAACCGAAAACGTCGCAGATGGTGTCTGTCACGAGTAACACTGGGAGCGTGTTAAAGCAGTCTTCTACGATGCCGGGGAGGAACAGACGTGGTGGGCTTTGGCGGGCCCACCTCGACCTCGGAGTCCTGGGGACGCGGTCAGGATGGCAGGCACAGTGGCAGCGCTGGTGGGGGGCCGTGGCCGGGTCCACGAGGGCCGACTCCCACCAGCAGACGGGCGTGAAGGGTCCTTACAGGGCGAGGGGACGCCCGTGCGGCGAGTGGAAACAGGTCACAGAAGTGAGCACAGCGTGAGTTCCACTTGAGGGGAAGATACAGTGTGTGCGGAGAAAACCCTGGCTGAAAACTAAAGTCGTGGTTCTTGTTTAACCAAAAGCACACGGGGCGCCCGACCGGCCCAGCCCGCAGAGTGTGCGAGTCTCAAATCTCAGGGTGGTGAGTTCAGACCCCACGTTGGGTGTGGAGCCTACTGAAAAAAAAGCGTAAGTGACCAAACACTTGGAAAGATGACAGACGCCTGATCACTTAGCACCCTCAGCTTGTCAGGGTTTCCTGCCTTCTGTGCAGGGACGCCCGTGTCTGACTTCTCCCAGCTCACCGACGAGGGCAGCATCCCTCCCAGCTGCCGTGGCAGCCAGAAAGTGCCACGGAGAAGCCGTTCTCTGCGGCTTCCGGAATCTTGTGGAACGGAGGGTTTTCTCAGAAGAAAACAATCCAAGTCATGCGGGGGGGGTAGCTTTCGATGGCAGAGCTGGTAACATCCCCGAGAGTGGCAGAGGCTGCTCAGGAGGTGGTGTGCACCTGTAGGTGTGGTCCCCGGCACGCCAAGCCTCAGGACGCCGGCCTTCCCGGGGCCTCGCCTGGTTTGAGGCCAGCGGGGGTGCTGTCTTCCCAGGCGCCCGAGGCCTGCGTGGCGGGGGCGCTGCTGCGCCACCGGCCTCGCGGGACGCTGAGGCCTGACCCGGGTGCCGTGGCTCCCAGGTAGCAGACCAAGCAGGCTGTGATGGTGCTCGGTGAGCGCGAGCCCTCGGGGTTTGAGGTGCCGTCCAGTGAGGGGTTTCCCGCCAACTCCCACCCACCTCGGGGCTGAAGTCACCCCTGCCCTCAGCCCCTCTCTTTGAGGACAACATGCAGGGGCCCGGGTGGGTGGACGGCAGGAGTGGGCTGTGAGGTTTCAGTTAAGGAGCTGCCGCTCAGAGTGGTCCGGGCCCCGGGGCACCACGTGAGGCAGTGGCTGGCTCAGCTGGGGAGGGTGACCCGTGAGGGCAGCTTCTGGGGAGAGCAGGCTTCCTGCTGAGATGTCTTCAGAGCAGAGCATCTGCTCATAGTGGGCTCGGCATCTTCGAGAAGAAAGGAACGACCTACAGGCCTGGAGGCTGGCCACGAGGAGGCAGGTGCCGGGGCCAAGTGGAGACGAAGCCTGGCCTGAGCACAGGTCCCAGGGCCATGCCGGTAAATGCCAGGAGCCGGAGCTGGTCTGACCAGACCCCAGAGCCAGTGAGCTGGGAGGGCAGGGGGGGCCCCTGGTGCTCATGCGGGACTCCAGGTGGGAGAAGATGGGCTCAGAGAGCATCTGGAAGGTTCTGCAGGTGGCAGTGCTGCCCCCGGTGATGGGGCAGGTCGGAGGTGGGGGCGAGTAGGCCCTTGATTTGGGAACCTGGCCTGCCCGAGAGCTGGGGGGGGGGGGGGGGGGGGGGGGTCCGCCGGGGGGGGGGGGGGGGGGGGGTGGGGAGCCAGGCAGGAGGATGGTCCAGTTGGCAAGGTCGCAGGGAGGCCAGGGTGAGGACAGAAGCAAAGGGAGGCACAGGGCGGGGGCGGGGCGAGGAGGAACCGGAGAAGCACTTTCCTTGAACAAAGGCGCAGGTGCTGGGTCCCTGCGGGCCAGAGCCAGGTGCCGGGACGCGGGAGGAGAAGCCTCTGGACACTCCTGTGCGCTCAGGCTCGCTGTCCAGTCTGTCCCTTTGCCGAGGGACTCCCAGGGCCTGACTCCTCCGTGGCTGGTGCGAGGGGCTGTCAGAGGGGATGGCGGCCAGGAGGGGCAGTGACTTGGGAGCTTCTGGAAACCAGATGCTTATTTGAGAAAGTCTGGGTGCCGTGCAGACCCCGGGGCAGCCGACCGGGCACCTCGTGCTCTCTCTGCACACTTCTGGCAGCCCCTGAGGAGGTCGCACCTCGAGGGGCAGTCGGTCCCCCGTGTCGTTCCCCATCCCTGCACCCCCCTCCCGGGGCGGGGGGGGGGGCAGCCAGCCGCATGGTGGGAGGAGGACACAGCCCCACCCGGGAGGACGGCTGGGGTGGGCACGGCCCCTCTCTGGAGCGGAGCGTGACCCCCTCCCCCGGGGGCTGCTGCGGAGGACAGGGCGATCTGCTGGGGCTCCCTGCACAGATACGGCTGGTCCCTGACCTTGAGAGGTCCCTGTCGCTTCCAGCCAGCGATTGGGCGAGGGAGCTGGCGCATGGCAGGGCGTTCGGTGCTGATTCAGCCCTTTCTGGGAAGGGAGCGAGCTTTCTTCTCCTTTCTCCCTCTTGGTGCTGTTAGGAAAGGGCCTCTCTGGGCCAGCTCCTCCAGGGTGGCCTTTCCTCCCATCCCCTCGAGGCTGGCCCGCTGCTCTGCACCCTGGAGCCACTTTCCAGAAATCCCAGCCCGGGGCTGCCGCCTCCCTGACAGCTCCCAGAGGCGGGAGCGCCCTGCCTCAGCAGCATCCCTGCCCGGAGGGGACAGGGAGGGCGGGAGGGAGCCGCTGATTCAGCGGCTCCTGGGCTGAACCACTCCCCCCCAAAGATCGGAAGAGAAGAATCGTAAAAAAAACACCAACCCTGCCAGAGGCCCCGTCACACGGGGCCTCTGGCAGGGTTGCTGTGGCGCTCGTTGTGTGGCCGGCTCTGCGCCTGGTGCTGGGGGAGGGCCTGCCGCAGAGGAGGGTGCGCGGTGAGCAGGGCTACCTGGGCCCGGGAAGCGAGCGCGCCCTTGTCCAAGAGAGGGCAGAGCCCCACTCCTGGGCCGGTGCGGCCTCACAGGAGCCCAGGCCAGGCCAGACTTCCTCCAGCCCTGGCCAGTTCGACCAGCTCACCTACCACCCTGACCTGGGGCTGGACGCTTCCCCAGCCCTGGGCGGGGACATGATGCAGTGCTGGCCTGTCCTTGGCTCCGGCCTGGCCAGCTGAGGGGGGCAGCTGGGGCCAGAGCCCGGGGCGGGGGGGGGGGGGGCACGAGCCGGAACCTCCTAGGGTCCAGCATGGGCCTGGTTTGCTCCTAACTGTGCTGGGAAGCCCAGAGTGTCAGGTGGCTGGGGGGGCAGGGCACCGAGGGCAGGCCCCAGGCCAGGAAGGTGCTGGCGCCCTGTGAACGGGGTTGAGCGGAGACGGGCCTTTCCTCAGCATGCCTGTCACCTGTCACGGAGGGGGCCGTGGGCTGGGGGCAGACGCCTGGGGCAGGGTGGGGACCGGTGTGGGCCTGGAGGCCCAGGAGGAGTCTGGAAAGGCAGGAGGGAGGCCACAGGAAGATGGGGTGGGGCGGCTAGGCTAGGTCGCTGGGTGGGGAGGTCTGTGTGTTTGGGCAGGGCAGGGCCTGAGGCACCCCACCGACCTCTGAGTGGCAGTCCTGTCCGTGGGCGAGTGTTCAGACAAAAGCCCACAGGCCCGCCGGCCGATGTGCTGATGTGCACGCCTCACCGGCGCGTGGGCATCAGCATGCTGACCGCCATCCAGTCCCCTTCCTGAGAATATTCATGCCTAGTCCTGGCTGAAATGCCGCGTGAATATTCATGCGGAGATCAATCAGTCCAGGCCGACGGTGATGTCACGGGGAGAAGAGCAGTGAGCAGTCAGGTGGAGGTGCGCCCCCTGTGCGGTGCCGGCGAGGTGCCCCCACCGTGGGGCCGGGTCCAGGTCACCGGGGCACAGGAGGCCGGGCCGGGGCTGCGGGCCCCTTCCTTCCAGGTGGACCCAGAAGAGGCCTCGGGGCCTTTGCACCGGGTGGGAACGGCGACCTGCCTGCCCTCACTGGGGTCAGGAGTCCTCCCCAGGAGTCCCCCGACCCCAGGCACCCGGCCCCCCCCCCCCCGCCGCCCTGCCAACTCAGGTGAGCAGAGGTGGTGTGTTTCCAGGTCTTTGCAGCGGCCCAGCCGCACCCCTGCTCCATTCTCCCACCGCCTGGACCCCCAGAACTCTCCTCCCGCACAGGGCAGGGGCAGGGGCAGCCCTTGGGTGATAGAATGTGAGTTCGTTATTTACAACACGGCCTGACGGCCTGCCTGACGTAAGGGTAACAGGAATTACTTGTGCTCGACTAGCCCCGCCCCCTGTTCGCGGCTCCAGGCTCCCGGATGCGGATGCGGCGCGAGGGTCCCGCCGATGACACAGCCTGGAGTGGGTTCAGCCCGTGCTCAGCACCACGCGTGTGGTGAGCGTGCATTTCAGAGCAGTGCAGCCCCTTCAGCCCGCCGCGTGGCTGGGGTGTGCGTGTGTGTGCGTGCGTGTGCGCTCACACGTGCGCGTGCCCCTGCGTGCAGGCGTGTGTTCTGTTCACCCAGGACCGAGCAGGACGGGGTGGACGGGTCCTGGCCCGGCCCACCGGCACCGGTGTTTCCCCAGGTGCTCTCCGGGGGGGACAGGGGAGCCCCCCATGGCCACTGTCCCCGTGTCCCGGCCTTGAAAACAGGTTGCTGTAGAGAGCTGAAACCCTTCCCGCGTTTGGGTCAGATGGTCCTGAGCTGACCCGCATAAGGGCCTTGTTTCTTGGACGCTGTGCTGTGCCGTGTTCCCTCCCCCCCGGGACCAGCTTTCCCTGCAAGACGGGGGAGAGGAACGCCAGAGCGGCCGGACTCACAGTCCGGAGGGGACAGGGCTGCTGCTGCACGAGGCTCTTCCCAGAGCGGGAGGGCAGCCGGGGCCGAGGCTGCGTCAGGGAGATGAGATGGCCCTGGGACAGGGCAGGAAGGCCCTTCGTGGCGCAGACCTGTTCCAGGTCCTGACCTCAGGGGTAGGTGGCCAGACCCCCGGGGGTGCGGCATGCTGGCACAGCTGCGGGATGGACGAGCAGGGGTGAAGGGCTGTCCTATCTCAGGGCATCCCCGCGGCCGTAACCCAACACCACCGACGGCCCCACGACCCTGGCTCTGGAGGCTGCGAGGCCAGGGTCCTGCACCGGCAGACTTCTCGCTGTGTCCTCCCGCGGCGGCGGGAGCCGCGAGGGAGCTCTGGAGTCCCTCCCCTGAGGCTCCACCCCGCGACCCCCTCCGCTCCCCAAGGCCCCGCGTCCTAACACCTTCACCTCGGGGTGGACCCTGAGGACGGCATGTTCTCGTGCCCGTAGGCCCTTGACGCTTTCTGCACGACCGTGTCCAGGGTCACTCCGTGCTCTGCGAGTTCGGTGTCCTCGGCGGAGCGTCTCCCTCCAGATGCGTCCGTGGGGATGGGCGGCTGCCTTTTGCCGAGCTCTCCTGGGCAGGTAGCCGCCGCCTCGGACCCGGCCCCCGGCGCCCTCGCACGGGTCTTCCCTGGGCGTCCCCGGCTGCGCCTCCGAGGCCCGCTTCCGGGCAGTGTGTGCCCGGCCCTCGCCTGTGTCCTGCAGGCGGCACAGAGTGTCCCCCAGCTGCTGCGCCCGCCCTGGCGTGACCGGGCCAGGCTCCGCCGTCCCTCCTGGGAGGAGGGGAGTCCGCGAAGCCACCCCGCGCCTCAGCCTTCTCGAGAGCAGGAAGCCACAGCTGCTGTGCAGCTGCACAAAGCGGTGGAAATTTAGGACAAAAGAGGAAGGAGATGGGAGCATCCGATTTAAACTGAGGGGAGGCGCGCAGAAGCCGAAACGGTGCTGCCCTAATTCACGTGCGCGGAGAGCCACCAAGTCCGCCGCCGCTGACGCGGAACCAAAATACTCACCCAGTTTCCTTCTGTGTAAGGGATCCAAACTCGCCTCCGAGGACTCGCAGATGTCCCCGGGCCCCGTGGGGCGCGGCCTCAGATGGCCCCGGTGCACAGCAGTCCCCCTCTGGCCGCAGGGTCCCGGGGTGCTGGTCCGGCTGCAGAAGGGGGTCCGGCGGAAGCAGAGGCTGGGGGAGCTGGGGGGGACAGGCGAGCTCAGCAGTCTCCAGCTGCCGCCTGAGGACCCACTCTCAGCGGAGCCGCGGGGCCCAGGGTTGGCGAGCAAGCCGGCGAGTGGAGGGGGCGAGCCCCAGCCCCAGCGCCGAGCTGCCGGGCCGCCCCCCCCCCTCCAGCCTGGAGCGGGGTCTGTGTGCCGACACCAACTAAGCCAGTGCCGGCAGAGGAAAAGCCCGTCTCTGCCAGGGTGGCCGCGGTGCAGGCTGACAAGCCGTGACCCCTCAGGGAAGTTTAGGAACGTCTGGTTCTTACTGTGCCTCAGTCACACGCTCCAACCGACCAGAACGAGTCTGCTCTGCCTGGGTTTGGGAGAGGTGGCTTCTACGATCCAGAGGATTCAACCCAGCTGTCTGTCCAGGCCTTTGGCGGAATGCCCAGGGGAAACCCCCTCCCCTGCGCAGCTTTGGAGGGGAGTCAAGGAGAGGGTCTGCCCCTGCTCACACACCTGTCTGGAGCCAGGCGCCCCCAGCCCAGGATGCCCTGGCTGGGGCCGGGTGTGGAGCGTGGGGGGCGGGGAGGGGGCAGGTTCCACCACCAGCGGGGGCCGGGACCCCACACCCTCAAGCACCTTCGCCCTTCTGTTCACTGGGGAGACACTCTCGACCTGGCTCCTGCCTCCCCTGATGTGTCGTTCTCTCTCTCTCAAATAAATAAACTTAAAAAACAAGGAGGTACCTGGACCCAGTGGCCACAGGGCTGTGGCAGTTCCCCGGTGGGGCAGGGGTTCCAGCAGCCATGGGGACGTGTCACCAGCACGTAGGCCAGGCCTGAGCTAAGGCCACACCTGGTGACTGGAAGGCCCACCCTGGCCCTTCCCCCAGGCTGACCGCCTCATGTGGGCAGCCCGAATCTGAACCACCAGGGCCTCGCCCAGAATTCTCCAGGATGGGGCGCCTGGGTGGCTCAGTTGGTTAAGCATCTGACTTTTGATTCACTCACTCTCTCTCTCAAAATTAAGAAACATTGAAAAAAAAGAAGAATTTTCCAGGACAAAAGACAGATGACGAGGATGGTGGGCACGGCCAGCAGGGACCAGGGCCCTGGTGTCCACCGGGCAGGGCTGGATTCAGTCTCCCCTGCAGCCCCAGTCACCACCCAGAGCAGACAGTCGGGTCCTCGAGGGGCAGGGCTGCCCCCCCCCCCCCACCGTCTGTCACTTTTGGCTTTTTTCCCTGGGGAAGCCCAGACCGTGGCCATCTGAGGGGACCCCACAGACCACAGGGCAATTCTGGGACACGTGACTGCATGGCCACACGCAGGCAGGGACGAGGGACAGCACACATCCCTTTCCCCCCGGGGGGGGGGGGGGGCGAGGTTGTGAGCAGGAGGACCCTGCCTGGGACAGCCACATGGAGTGACTGCAGGGGCTCGCTCCATGGGCCCTCCTACCAGCTCCTCCCGGTCGATGACCAGCTGTGGGTCATGGGCTCCCCCTGCCCTCCAGAGCCCTGGAGAGTCTAGGTGAGGCGTGTCACCTGGGTCAGGGCTTGGCGCACAGAGGCCCGGGGCCTCCTCTGTGCTGCCCGTCTGAGCAGAGAGCAGGCCCAAGACCCCTTGCCGGGGAACTCGGACGTCTTGCAAGCCAGTATGGCAGTGGAGGGAAAGGAGGACCCCGCCATGCTCCGTACCACCCCCAGGGGCCCGTCTGGGGGTAGGCCATGCCTGCGGTGGGCCCAGGAGCAGGGCCCCTCGAGGCCACTCTGCTCCCAGCCTTGGGGCTCAGTGGGAAGCCCCAAGGTGGGGGATGGCGCGCAGCCCACGCTGAGGATTTAGGTGAAGGCACGGAGAGGAGTCACCGCATCAGAGGAGTTAAACCTCACGATCCATACAGACAAGGTGAAGCGGCCCTTGGAGAGGCAGCGGGGCATGGAGAGGAGGGTCCAGCGGGTCGGAGGGCAAGAGAGCAGAGCGGATGTGTCCCCTCCTAACCCCAAGGGGAGGGCTCTGCTGGTGGGCACACCCGGGCCCACTGCGCTGGCCTCACCACCTCTGGCTGAATGGCTTTAGTCTTTCTGTGCCTCCAGACCAGCAAGCGCCCGGCTTTCCTCACAGGACCAGACCCAGATTTGAATCTGAGGGGCCCAGCTGCCCTCTAGCTGCCTGACAGTGGGTGAAAGCTCCTGGCGAAAGAGCCTGCACGTGCAGACCCCAGGTCCAGCGGTCCTGCCTGGGGACTGTGCTCCCTGGAGTCTGGGGTCTGAGCCATCACGTCCCCCCATCCATCCCCGAGGGCTCTGGGTCCACAGCTGGCAGCCCGCAGGGCCTGTGGGTCTCAGGCAGGGGCCCACGGGGGTGGAGGGCAGGCCAGGCAGGGCCCGACGGCGCTCCCCACGGATCCCGGTGTGGACCAGCGCACCTCAGATCCTAATGTGCACACTGGTCATGTGGGGGGGGGGGGCCAGCGCAACGCAGATTGTGGTTCAGCAGGACGGGGGCCCAGGAGGAGGTGTAGCAAGTGGGGGAGGACCAAGCTGGCAGCGTGGCTCGGGGAGCCACTAGGTCTTTGGTGGAGGGCAGTTCGACCGCGTGGCCAGACGCTCACAGACCACTGGCTTTGGGGCAGCGGTGAGCACAGGTGATGGCAGAGACCCTGCATCCCCGCGCACTGGTCCCTGGCCACATCTGGTCTGACTCCCGGGGCCTCTGACTCCAGCGGGAACTATCCAGGGGCTCACGCAGCCCACACGGGAGGCCACATTCCCCCAAACTGCCCCCCAGCAGGCCTCCCGCCCTGCTCCCTCCCCCTGGTTCCATCTCCTGGGGTCCTCACCAGCTCAGCCCTCCCTGGACTCCGGGGGAGTCCCCAGTGGGTCTCGTAGAACCCAGCGGTCAGGGCCCCCCTCCCCCTCCCCCTCCCCCACCGCGCCCTGTCTCCAGCAGCGTGACCCTTTAGGTATTTCCCGTAAGCGGAATCTGAACACCGTTCTGCTGTAAGAAAGACGACATCCGGCGGTCCCATCGAAGGACACGGGTTGTTTCCACCCCTTGGCCGCTGCGAAGGGTGCCGCGAACGTGGGGGTGCAGACGGCGCTCCGAGCCCCTGCCTGCAATGTTGGTTCGTACCCACAAGGGGACCCGCTGGACCGTGCGCAATTCTACCTTTGATCCCGGAGACCCGCGCACCTTTCCCGGCCGAACGCATTCAGTCCGTGCGGGCAGAGCTGGAGGTGAGTCTGTGGCCGCCCCGGCTGGTTTCTGGCTCCTGCTCTGCTGTCCTACCGCGTGAAGGACCTCACTGTGCGCACAGCACTTTCTAGCTTCGTTTTTAACTGACCGTCCCCCTGGCTCGGACAGAAGCCCCAGGACTGCGGCCCTGGCCCACCTTGCTCCCCAGCACATCCGTGGCCGAGCACCAGGCCTGGCACACAGCTGTGCTCAAGGATGACCTGGTCTTCCTGCTCTGGGGGCAGGCGAGCCAGCCTGTTCGCCCCCTGCCCCCCCCCCCCCTTGGCGAGGGGCCTGGCCCGCAACCCTCCCGGGCTGCCGGAGCTCAGCAACTGTGTCTCTTCACCCTGGGTAGGGGCCCGATTAGCCCACGTGCTATAGCCATACCTATGGCTGCCTTGAGGGGGCCCAACCCTGCGAGAGCCACCTGGCGGGTCGGGATGGCTTCCCTGAGCACCTGAGGAGACCACCTAAGGGACGAACCGATCAGAGTTCACTTGCCAACACAGAGTGGAGGTATCCCAGGCAGGGAAATTTCAGGTGCAAAGGCCCTGTGACAGTGGGCACAGGGGCAATCAGCCAGCACAGGCCACGCTGGGCTCCTGAGCACAGCAAGGACACCCCAGAAGAGGTGCCAGTGACCACATGTGCCCTTGCGTGCAAGGCCCACGTAAGTGCCTTGCAGCCCAGTTCATCCCCAAGGGGGAGTGGAGGGACCCCCGGGGTGGAGGGTCTGTTGTCTCCTGGGGGTTCCCGCCGATCCTCCAGGGTAACCGTGGTAAGGACAGAAACGGCAGAGGGACCAGGAAGGTTTGTGAGAGGCCAAGCTGGCAGACCTCCAGGTAAGTTTGGCTGCCGGCCTTCCTAGGAGGGTCTGGGGGAGGGGCAAGGCCCCTGAGACTCCCAACCTGCTGGCACCTTCCATTGTCCCCTCCTCCGGCAGGAATGCACAGAATGCTGCCCTGGGGGCAGGCCCTCAGCTCCCCATCCGCCCCCAATCTCCAGGAGCTGGGCCAGGAACCAAAGCGAGGTGGTTTCCGGAGGAGGGGCGTGGGCTGTGTTTAAGGTTGGCCACTGCCCTCCAGATGTCCTGTGTTGGGCTTTGGCAGGAAGGGCGGCCTGGGTCCGTGGGGTCCCTGCCTGGTGTCCTATGCCCTATCGCCCAGGATGGCCACGAGCTGTGGGCAGCTCTTGCCCCCCCCCCCCCACCCCTTCCCGTGGATCCCGGCTCCCCTCAAAGGCTCCGCAGCGCCACCCTGGGGTCCTGGGCAGGCTTCCTGGAGGGTGTGGGCTACAGGATCAGGTTGGAGTGTTTAATGTTAAAAGGGGTGGTGGCCTCCATCTGAATCCCAAACTGGGGACGGGGGGGAGGGGCGGGCAAACACCCACCTGCTAAAACTGGAGGCCTGGCTGCAGATGTGGGGGTAGGGGTCTGCGGCGTGGCCGGCCTCTGCCCCCGCC